CCAATGACCACGATCGTCGTCACCCTGTTCCCCTCATCTACATCATCATGACGGTGTTCAACACGACCGATTCGTTTGTAACCTCCTCACGTACCACTTGGCATCGACGAACAGACACACATTGAAATGCTCATCAACGCGCTCACCCGCGATCACACCCAAACGTGTGTTGATGAGACGATCATGTGATATTGTGTTTTTGGTGATTGACTCGCGACCTCACACACTGTTGTAGGTCTCGACCGACTTCGAGGAATCACATGCCTATAACACCGACTACCAGATGTTTGTGTTCAGTCGGCTTTGTTGAGAGCACTCCGTTTGTCCAGAGAGCGTATGAATGGGCATCAGGGATTTGCATCGCGACACCTTCATGGACTTGGTTGTTGGCAGTGTGAATGTGCGTGTTCTTGTTAATGATGTTGTTGTTGTTGTTGTTGTTGTTGTTGATGATGATGATGATGATGATGATTTTGATGATGTTGGTGCTTCGTGTTTTTGTGGTAGATTGTTTGCATGTGCAGGCGAAGCATGCGTGTGAGTGTTTGTGTGTGGATGTTTGTTGGGATTGTGGTGATGGTGGTGTTGTGCGTTGATTGTAGTGTTTATAGTTGAACGTGGTGTGGTGTTGTGTTCGGGTAGTGAAGTTGTGACAGTCGCGAAATCGGGGGTATAGCTCAGTGGTAGAGCATTCGACTGCAGATCGAGAGGTCCCCGGTTCGAACCCGGGTGCCCCCTTCACTTTTCCACAATCAATCACATCATAACACACAATATACTAATAAAACCAACAAACAACTCTCTCGACCCAATATCACGCACACTCACTCACCGTCACTATCAATCTCATCCGTCGGACGAGTACCGACGACAATTGCAATAGTCAATCACACAATACACTATCGATGTTTCCACATGTACAGGTTTCAATTGCATATTGATATTAAAATATATTTACATATGTACAGATGTGCAGCAACTCTCCTACAATCAATCCCGATTATGGTTAATTTTGGTTAAGCCCTTTTATTAACTTACTTAACAGACTATGTTATTCGAACAGTAACAATTCGTCTATTTCTCTGTACTATTATCATCTCTATCTTCTCTGTATAAACGTGTACTGTTGATCAGATGACAGCCTACGTACATATCTCTCTCTAGGTTAAATGTTGATAGCTTAAATATCGCCGGATGAATCGTTCTCCTCCGCATGTATATATCTAATCGAATCCTATTATTAGCCTTTACCTTGCCTAGCTGTGCCTTATTCCATTTCACTATGATGTGCTTGTAGCTTTGTTATCTGTGCTATCCGCAAATAAACTGTAGTCACCGCTTCTCATTGCCTTCTGATTTCAAACACCGTGGGATTTATATAATAACGGTTATCAAGTTGATTGATTAACGAAGCTAAGCCACTACAGATGTATACACTGTGCATTCACTCACTCACTCACACACACACACACATGTATATTGTGATGTGTGTATCATCGACAACAGATCGGCATCTTTACTGAGATCATCTTCGTAAATTTCATTTTGATCGGACATCACTGTCGATACAATTGTGACATCCTCGTCAATATGTATGTACTGTTGGGATTTCGACACGTGTACACCCTCACACATTTCAGATGAACTCCCACTGGAAATATACTGTGCTTATCGAGTGATCGTGTGCTCACACCGACGCGTTGGTTAACTGACGGAGATTGAGAAACCCAATGGTGGAGTAAACGCATCCCCAAAATTATCATCATCATGCTCATTGCCAATACGGTCACCGACAAATCGCCAATGACCACGATCGTCGTCACCCTGTTCCCCTCATCTACATCATCATGACGGTGTTCAACACGACCGATTCGTTTGTAACCTCCTCACGTACCACTTGGCATCGACGAACAGACACACATTGAAATGCTCATCAACGCGCTCACCCGCGATCACACCCAAACGTGTGTTGATGAGACGATCATGTGATATTGTGTTTTTGGTGATTGACTCGCGACCTCACACACTGTTGTAGGTCTCGACCGACTTCGAGGAATCACATGCCTATAACACCGACTACCAGATGTTTGTGTTCAGTCGGCTTTGTTGAGAGCACTCCGTTTGTCCAGAGAGCGTATGAATGGGCATCAGGGATTTGCATCGCGACACCTTCATGGACTTGGTTGTTGGCAGTGTGAATGTGCGTGTTCTTGTTAATGATGTTGTTGTTGTTGTTGTTGTTGTTGATGATGATGATGATGATGATGATTTTGATGATGTTGGTGCTTCGTGTTTTTGTGGTAGATTGTTTGCATGTGCAGGCGAAGCATGCGTGTGAGTGTTTGTGTGTGGATGTTTGTTGGGATTGTGGTGATGGTGGTGTTGTGCGTTGATTGTAGTGTTTATAGTTGAACGTGGTGTGGTGTTGTGTTCGGGTAGTGAAGTTGTGACAGTCGCGAAATCGGGGGTATAGCTCAGTGGTAGAGCATTCGACTGCAGATCGAGAGGTCCCCGGTTCGAACCCGGGTGCCCCCTTCACTTTTCCACAATCAATCACATCATAACACACAATATACTAATAAAACCAACAAACAACTCTCTCGACCCAATATCACGCACACTCACTCACCGTCACTATCAATCTCATCCGTCGGACGAGTACCGACGACAATTGCAATAGTCAATCACACAATACACTATCGATGTTTCCACATGTACAGGTTTCAATTGCATATTGATATTAAAATATATTTACATATGTACAGATGTGCAGCAACTCTCCTACAATCAATCCCGATTATGGTTAATTTTGGTTAAGCCCTTTTATTAACTTACTTAACAGACTATGTTATTCGAACAGTAACAATTCGTCTATTTCTCTGTACTATTATCATCTCTATCTTCTCTGTATAAACGTGTACTGTTGATCAGATGACAGCCTACGTACATATCTCTCTCTAGGTTAAATGTTGATAGCTTAAATATCGCCGGATGAATCGTTCTCCTCCGCATGTATATATCTAATCGAATCCTATTATTAGCCTTTACCTTGCCTAGCTGTGCCTTATTCCATTTCACTATGATGTGCTTGTAGCTTTGTTATCTGTGCTATCCGCAAATAAACTGTAGTCACCGCTTCTCATTGCCTTCTGATTTCAAACACCGTGGGATTTATATAATAACGGTTATCAAGTTGATTGATTAACGAAGCTAAGCCACTACAGATGTATACACTGTGCATTCACTCACTCACTCACTCACACACACACACACACATGTATATTGTGATGTGTGTATCATCGACAACAGATCGGCATCTTTACTGAGATCATCTTCGTAAATTTCATTTTGATCGGACATCACTGTCGATACAATTGTGACATCCTCGTCAATATGTATGTACTGTTGGGATTTCGACACGTGTACACCCTCACACATTTCAGATGAACTCCCACTGGAAATATACTGTGCTTATCGAGTGATCGTGTGCTCACACCGACGCGTTGGTTAACTGACGGAGATTGAGAAACCCAATGGTGGAGTAAACGCATCCCCAAAATTATCATCATCATGCTCATTGCCAATACGGTCACCGACAAATCGCCAATGACCACGATCGTCGTCACCCTGTTCCCCTCATCTACATCATCATGACGGTGTTCAACACGACCGATTCGTTTGTAACCTCCTCACGTACCACTTGGCATCGACGAACAGACACACATTGAAATGCTCATCAACGCGCTCACCCGCGATCACACCCAAACGTGTGTTGATGAGACGATCATGTGATATTGTGTTTTTGGTGATTGACTCGCGACCTCACACACTGTTGTAGGTCTCGACCGACTTCGAGGAATCACATGCCTATAACACCGACTACCAGATGTTTGTGTTCAGTCGGCTTTGTTGAGAGCACTCCGTTTGTCCAGAGAGCGTATGAATGGGCATCAGGGATTTGCATCGCGACACCTTCATGGACTTGGTTGTTGGCAGTGTGAATGTGCGTGTTCTTGTTAATGTTGTTGTTGATGCTGGTGTTTGTGTTTTTTTTTGTTAGGTTTTTTTTCATGGTAACCTTTTATTTTTCAATAATACAATAATATATATTTAAAGCGTATTTTTAATTTTGTTTTTTAGTTACGTGTTACTGAAATTTTATAAGTATATCTCTTCTCCAAATGTAAAATATTTATCTGGACATTTGATTTATGGAAACTCATGTTTCGTTTAACGGCCATCTCGGAGATATTACAAATGTAATGGAAAGGATGAATGCATTATGAAATGAAATGAAGTCATAAAATGCATATTTATGATGTTGCGTAAGGAGAGCTTTAATATATTAACGATGTTGTATGGTGCAGTTCTTCTTCAGTTATGTATCCACGAAATGAGTATTGGAAGTATTGGCTTTTAATGTTTTTGGAAGAAGCCGTATTGTGTGATTGACTTTAGAATTGTCATCGGCACTCACCTGACGGATGAAATTAATAGTGACGGGGAGTGTCTATGATACTGGGTAGAATTTCAAGCAACTGGTTCTTTTTATGATTTCTAATCATAGCCATCATCAGTTTCAATTGTTTCACATTAAATCATACCTCAATTTTATATTTCATTATATATATTGTTGTATGCAGCTGATGGGAAATCACGAAATACAACAACTTCATATTATTTTGTCTCAATTGTCGTTCTAGTCTGGTTCAAATTCATAACAGTAACCGAATGCTTAGAATTTCTGTAGAGTCGCTCCCCTGTTCATTTTTTATGTCTCTCAACCGTTTGGTGACAATCTACCGAAGGATATCGAAGGAAACAACGAGATTCAGGTTTTTGAACAGTGCTTAAATGATGGCTGCTTCCTTCACCAATTTTTTAAAAGTTGTACGCGCACGTAAACTACCTCCTTCATTGAAAAGTCTACGACGTATCACAAATTCTCAAATCGAATATACTAAGGTACTTATCTCTAAACTCAAAACAGAATCCCTTTGTTTTTGATAAAATTGTTACGGATTTAAATATTGTACATTAAATTATAATAATGGGCTTTTGAGTTTTTAAAGATATTAACCAAAACACATGTAAAAGAACGAAAACATAACGTCTTTCCTATTAATCCGGAAAAATGTATGCAGAATTTATCGACTAAAAAATTAGGTTTAATTGTAACAGAAATTCTCCCTCAGATTTAAATTTAATATTCTGGAAAAAATGCAAGAGAATCGAAACTGAAACTCAATTTCAGTATTTATATCAGACCTAAAACCTATGAATGATGAAATACAAAGTTGGTTGAAATGGAAATGAGTGAATATTACAAATCAGTACATTACAACACCAGTTCCACAGTCTAAGTGTTGACTAAAGTCCATCATCAAGCATTGGGAAAACTTATGAAGTACAAAATACTAATGTTAATTCGATCAAGCAAGGATTCCAGTGTAATTATCCTAAACAGAGACGAATACAATAGCAATGTAATGTCCATTTTAAATGAATCCAAGAGATTTATCATCGACAATGCTCAGAAAGGCCTGACGGATGAGACTGGCGTCTATAAAAGAGTTGAGAGAATATTTGAAGAATTTAATCGATAATCCTACATACAATGAACTCAAACCGAAAGGATAACAATTACCTCATTTAAACGATTTACCTAAAATATATTTCAAACATCCTCGTGGGGTCAATATTATCTATGATCGGATCACGTTTCTACAAACTCGCCCGCTGGTTGACAAGGTGTTTAGAACCAGTCCGTAAGAAAATAGCTCCCTACAGTCTAAAAGATAGTTTCGAATTCGCACAACAGCTTGATAACTTGAATGTTTCCAATAAATTCATGGTACAGTTTGACGTCTCATCTCCCTTCATAAAAATTCCCTTGGAAGAAACCACTGATATTATAGATAAGCATCTGAACTGCCTGCTTTTTATAGAAATCAATTCAAACAGCTTCTGTTCTTATGAACCAAAAATACACATTTTCATTTCAACAGTGTGTTGCACCGCTTAACTGATGTATTAGCAATGAATAGCCCTCTGGGATCATTTTTAGATTATATATTTATGGGGAACCTGGGACACACAAAGATTAGGCATGCAGTTGAAACAACTGCACTCTCTTGTGGATATATTAATGACACATTTCTCGTCTGCAACAAACATACGCATTCTATGGACTTACTCAATCTTTTTAACAAAGCACACAATGATATAGACTTTACTATAAGGCATGAAGTAGGTAAATTCTATTTCTCAGATAATGAAACAAAACGAACTTGAGACTGTACACTGGCAAGACACATTGACCACAAAAATACATCGAGTCAAGTTTTTCTAATATTTATGTCCAATTAGTTACAAAAAGATTATTGCCATTCTCATAGCCTTTATTACAAATTGCCTACGTAAAGAAGGGAAATTAATCAAGACATATGCCAAAACCAAAGTACGGAATAAATACGATATAATGGAAAAAACTTATTTCTTGAATAAACGCATTAAATATGTATCCACCAGAAAAAAACCCAGGATATATAGTGTGATGAAAGCTGTTTAAAAATTAGTATGAATGACAGTAGTTTAAAATAAGATGCACATTCCAACAAAAGAAGATGGACAATAATCCCATCCTCAGTAGCTCCAAATGCATTTGCCAATTCGGATATGGGTATCACGGAATAACACATAGAACACAACACCACACCACGTTCAACTATAAACACTACAATCAACGCACAACACCACCATCACCACAATCCCAACAAACATCCACACACAAACACTCACACGCATGCTTCGCCTGCACATGCAAACAATCTACCACAAAAACACGAAGCACCAACATCATCAAAATCATCATCATCAACAACAACAACAATAACAACATCATTAACAAGAACACGCACATTCACACTGCCAACAACCAAGTCCATGAAGGTGTCGCGATGCAAATCCCTGATGCCCATTCATACGCTCTCTGGACAAACGGAGTGCTCTCAACAAAGCCGACTGAACACAAACATCTGGTAGTCGGTGTTATAGGCATGTGATTCCTCGAAGTCGGTCGAGACCTACAACAGTGTGTGAGGTCGCGAGTCAATCACCAAAAACACAATATCACATGATCGTCTCATCAACACACGTTTGGGTGTGATCGCGGGTGAGCGCGTTGATGAGCATTTCAATGTGTGTCTGTTCGTCGATGCCAAGTGGTACGTGAGGAGGTTACAAACGAATCGGTCGTGTTGAACACCGTCATGATGATGTAGATGAGGGGAACAGGGTGACGACGATCGTGGTCATTGGCGATTTGTCGGTGACCGTATTGACGAAGAGCATATTGGGTGCTTGTTCGTGCATTTTAAGCTGTTTTTTATTTTGTTTTTCGCTTAGTTCTTTGACGTCTTTAGTTCTTCGTTTCGTGTGGTCCTTTTTTATTCTTGTTTCTTACTTATTTTACATGTTTTTATCTGTTTCTCTTACTTCCATTGTGCTTTTTTATTTCTTCCTTATGACTTGTGCTGTCGACTTCCGTCAAGTTGAAGGTTTTTGATGCATTTTTGTTTTGTGTATCATCAAATATTTTATACGATTGTTAAATCTGTGTCTAAATTTGTGAATAGTTTCTCAGTCCTGTAATTGGAGTCATGGAAAATTTTCTATCTACAGTCCCGAATAGAACGAAACACGCGTCCTGGATTCCATTGCTAGCCACTATACATCTTTGCTTATAATGCTTGTGAATTAAGACAATATCGAGGCAATACGCAGAGTATGCACATATACCAATAAGAGACTGACCAATCGCAATCCTAAACATCAATCGGAAGATTCATTTAAACAATACTAAGTGAATTTATCGACAGTATCGTTTGAAATATGATTATTGACCACTTTATGGAATAGAACTTATTAAAGATTGGTTAATTGACATTATTTCGGTTGTTCCATGATGTTCAAAAATCTATTCATCCTGATTTGAATATTATTTGATTAGATGGAGGAATGATTTTTAATTTGTCGTAATTATTTTGACGAATGCAGTTAAAAAGTTAAATTTTCTTTCATTTAGTTAGTTTTCATTTGTGAGTACTGTGACTAGAAATTGAAGTTATGCAATTTAGGTTTATCTTATTGTCTTCTCGCCATTTAATCTCTGTCCTAGTCATAAGATTAAAATGTAACGTTTATGCTGTTTGCATAACACCAATTGAGTGTGTGAAACAAATCACTTATACCATGACTATTACGATCATGAAGGAAGTATTGTAATGAATTTGTATGATAATAAAAAATATGTGAAAGATAATCATTGTTATTATTGGTTGGTGTAGAGAAACAATAGTACTTGAAACATATATAATATAGATGAGCTTCCCAATATTTTATAAAGTGGCTATTTTGTCTATGTAACATTTCCTCTACTACGATTTTAAAAGATGATAAACACTTTTAGTAAGTATTGTAGTTAACTAAGAGAAAATTTCCAATAAAGATACAATTCAATGGTGATCTTTAAAAATGTACTATTCAAGAAATAGTGATTCTTAACTTTTTCCATTCAATGCTTCAATACATGATTACGATAGTTTGATAAATGAATCAAAAATACATAAGTTTTTCATTTATACAAATTCAATATCATTAGCTTCTGGATCATAAATTACCTTGTAATCTTCAAATAGTGTTTGGAGCTTTTCTATATAAATTTGTTTAATATGTGCGACCTGTTCGTCTGTGGGTTCATTTATTTTTTCGCATTGAATTGGAGCACCAACTGTAAGAAAAAAGTGTTTTTTTTTCAAGATATAACATGATAGTGATAGGTTATTTTCTGAAATCGGTAGAACTTTCAGCTACAAATTCTTGTTTAGTTATAAAAACTGACCTGGTTGAATTTACGACAATATGTACCTTCACTGATGTTTTTTTTAAATGTAGCCTTTAGTTACAGACACTATAGTTTAATTAGGCTAAAGTGTCTCGAAATATTACCTATCCAAATTAGTTTTGTACTTAATTTGCTGACTGATAAGAGTAGCTGTAAACGGTCACGTATGCCCGACATGTTTACAAAATAATTGAAAGAAACAATATGGATTTTTTGCGAGGTAAGTCAATGGCGACTGTGGTCTGCACAGATTCACTTTGAATGGTAAAGCGGTTTTATTTATTTGAAAACGATTTCACATTAAATAGTAGTTAGCATTATAATCCATGATAAAGGTTTTATTTTATATGGACTCCTAAGCTAGATTGACTTCCACATCAATATAGATATATCTACTAGGATACAAATTTAGTGCCCGTAGATTCAAACCCCATAGTGTTAAACACACGACACCAGTCTTGGACTTCAGTGGTAGCTGCTTCTGAACACCTAACCAACATATGAATTCAGCTGACATTAAGGGAACTATATGAGTTGCCCATGTGCTATCAAAGACTGGTTAGCAATCAAGAAATACGATTCCATATACTTTTGAAAATGGTTGTTAAAAATTGGGTTCTCATAAAATGTAACGATTGAACTTCATGAATTTCCTCCATGTATCTAGTGTAAAAAAGAAACATTTCTTAAAGAATCATTCACTAAGTAGTCAGTATTCAAATTTTAACAATTTGTGAATGATCACCTACAAGAGCCGGAAACTGCAACACTTCAATGTAATTATGAACATACCTACAGTATAGACTGGTTTACGATACGGAAAGGGACCACGAGCATAGAAAATAGGCAGTGCAACGGTAGAAATCGACGTAAATTTATCCTGTAGCCATCGTATCCATGATCCTTTTTCATTTGGAACTTGATGATATAAGCTTTGTTCACCAAATGATATACACGGTACCAAATATGATCTTCAATTAAAATAAGAATAGTTCAGCATAAATTAGATTATGTCGAATACATCAAGTAAATGGTAGAAACTTAATTATTTTGTCATTATATGTGAAAATTATATTTGAAATATTCTCAGCGATTGAAATATAACTAAATCAACATCCAAATATGATTGGTTTAACATAGTATAATCCTGATTGTTAAAAGCTATATATGCCTTTGATAATTTTGATTTTGATTATTACCCTGAAGAAGTCCAGACAAGTTAGCTGGACGAAACGATGGAATTAGTTATATTTCAATCGCTAAGAATATTTCAAATATAATTTTCACATATAATGACTTCTCTATACTCGGCGCTCAATTACTGTCAAACTATTCGTTCTAATCTTGACGAATATTCGTATAAATTAATTATTTTGTGCTTGTCTTGTAATTTCAAGGGCTGAAGAACAATCAAATAGTTAGATTTTCAGGACTTTGAAGGTTATTTCTGACCCACAGTAAGTTATAGAGATAAGGGATTACAAAAACTCAGAAATAGGATTGTGTAGATTTACAAGTTAAAATGTATTAAGTCGGAAATTTGTATGAAATATATTACCAAATAATATGCTTTCTTTCAACAAACTTTCAAAATAACAGCTATGTAAACAATTAATTTATTTCCTGTCTAAAGCAGAATTCCTTCATCCATATTAGAAGCCAAGAGTTCTTACCCAACTACCTATTAATATTACTTAGATTATTTAATTCCAACTTTAGTGCTTACAGTTTTCAGACTTTACAATGTTTGCTGTTATTTACAATTGATTGATCACTGGGTGGTGATCAATGTCATATGTGTCAAGTCCTTAGTGTAGATCGAATGCTATCGACCAAGTTGCAATGTGACCACTAGTCTAGGTGACTCGACATTGCATGCACTATGTTGAGATAAGATGGTGGTTGGAGGTAGTTAACTACCATTTTAATGTTTGCTGTTATTATAGTATAGAGAATATTTATTTGTTTTACATTCTTAAAAAGTTTATAAGTAACCGATATTTTGTAAATTACTTTTTAATTTTAGGTTGAAATCATATACATAGCCACTGTTTGTTTGATATAATTGAGTAGATTATAATGGTTATAATGATTAGTATGAATGGAAAAATAATGAGATTGTTTCTCTAGTGGTATTCATCTGATGAATTCATAGGAATATAAGAAGATAATAAATTATCTGTGACTGTGAAAAACAATTATCTAACAAATATCAAACTACTTATATACATTTTAATCAGTTTAAAATCATAATTGGAAGGTGGTTAAGTAATTAATACCATTTTATTCAATAAAAGAATAAAGTATCTTATAAAATGATTCAGAATATACAGCAATATTATCTGAAATTTTGATTGATTGAACTTTTACCATATCACCTAACAGCCTAAAATGTTATAATCAATTTAAGTCACTAAATATCACTGACAATGTAATTCTAGTCAGTCTACAAATGATTTGATCATAAATATTTACAAATTAGTTGATAGTTTCTTCTTGACGTTCATCAGTATTCAGTAAACGAGATACTCACATTTGTTATTAGCTGTACCTGGTTTTGTAGACACAACAATTACTAATTATTGATAAATTGGACATTTAAAACTAGAGTAAGTCATTGACTACCATATGATCATAAAAATAATCCAACTTAATTAGATTAATTTCATTGTATATGTACTCTAAATTACAATAACATATTTAAAGTACAAATGTGAATGAGGATACTGTAATTTATTTGTATGTTTATTATTTGTCAAGTGAAAAATTAATCAAAACAATGCAGATTTTTTTTTGTCTTATCATGAGGCAATCTAGGGAACGAATTAATGACAACTGATGAAGGTTTTATCAATACGAGTAATATATGTTAGTATATGGCATATTTGCACTGAATGAATTTGGGAGCTTATATTTGCCTCCTTGTATTCTCAACTGGAAAATACATTCCAATTACTTCTCATTTTCATAGTCAAATCATCCCACATATTGTAATACAAGCAATTCATTCATTTGATAATCAGTTATATGAATTACTTGAAATAATGAAAAATAGCTAGTTGACTAATAAAATTATAACTTCATTTAAACTAATGGTTCTAAGGTAAAACAATTTCCACTAACATATGTTCATCAACAGTTTATCACAACTTTAATTAATTAGTAATAAGTGTAGTACTTAATTATTTGTAATTAGCCTATTGAATATAACAATATTAGTTATTCACACTTTTGTAAAAAATGAAGAGCCATAGTTTAATAAATAATCATCTTTGAAGGTATAAACTAATAGTTTTCATATATCTCTATGTTTTAGCAAGTACGAGACATTTGATAATGGAAATGAAAAGATTCATCTCGAAAACTTTTGCTCTTCCTAATTCACTGATCTGATGTAGTAAAACATAATTTAAATAGGTTAATCATAATTTCCAAATAGTGTATGTGACGGTTGTAGGTTTTAAAGTGATTTACTAAGTGATTTATTAAGTTAAATATTCCAGAAAGTTCAGGTCACAGTCACTTTATAAGGCCAAGATGATTTTACAGTATCATACCTTTATTTTAGACATTTAGTGAGAAATCCAAAACGCGCGTTTCGTCCTATTTGGGGCATGTCAGCTGGATGTACCTGCATCTCAGAAATGATGTTCACTCTTGGACTTGAACCCAGTAATGTTCGCTTCAAAAGCCATTGCGTTCTTGTGCAATGGGGGGAAGTTTTAAATTCACTTGATGTTGTTAAATTGTATCTTCCCATTAACTCTGAGATACAGGTATATCCAGCTGACGAGTCTCAAATAGGAAGAAACGCGCGTCCTGGATTCCACTGCTAGTCACTATACATCTTTGTATATAAAGCTTGTGACTTCAAACAATATTGAGGCAATTCTCACAGTATGCACATATGCTAATAAGAGACTGATCAATTGCAGTCCTAAATAACAATGGAAAGATACAAGTAACACCAAGTGAATTTAATGATAAATATCATTCAATAGTTATTTTATTTTCTCCATTATCATGTTAATAAAAATTTTTTCATTAAAAATTTATGCACTGTTAAAGAAAATGATTACATTTCACGCAACACCTACCCAGTTTGTAAGGCCAACTTGAAAAAACCAAAACGTTGATTAATGTGCATCACATATGTTCCAGGTCTTGAATCTAAGGCTTCGGAAGCCCCACCAAGAACGACAACGACAAAATTCCCTGTTTGTTTGCAACTATTCTTATCCAAAAGGTAATGTAATCCTTTCTTAGTAGCAGCAATCATTCCTGAGTGAAAGTTACATTAAATAAAATCATAAATTAAAACGTTGGTTACAGTCACATTGTCCACGGTTAGATCGTCAGAAGCATATAAATGTTTATATTCTATCAAAAGCTATAAACTCTTTTAGAAAATCTGGAATTTCGAATAGGACTTATTCCACAAGTGAAAAATGCTGTGTTCGAAGAAGATTAAATTATAGATAACTTCTGGGAACTATTTATAGACTACTATGATATATATTCTTATTGTATAACTATTAAATAACTAGATTATATATATTTATCATAAATTTCATTTGACCTATTGGCTATTGAGATACAATTTACCATTCCCAATTTAGTTCCGATTTATTAGTTACAGTATCTCACACTCATAGTCACTTTTCGCTCGATCGTGTATGATTGTTATTTTCTATTTGATGGTATGATGCGATCTGGTTTGCATGTGCAATAACTTGTACATGACTCATACAGTAGGAGCTGAGATTGCTTTCTGGACTCAACGGGCAAGGTTATGTGAGAAGCTACTATAAAGAGAACCAATAAGGACTCAGAGTTGAATTTAGGTTAACGCGTCATCGGTTCGGCACAGAGCCAAGGTCGTATTATAGTGAAAGAAAACACCAGTGGAGACAATCAAATGTATTTGAATACAAAATTACAAAACGTCTTAGTAGAATCTGAGAACCATACATTAAGTACTTCATTCGCAGAATGTCAATCAATTGTCTCAGACTTCATTGTTACTTTGTTTCTACACCAATCGTTCTCTGTTCTTGTCCTCTTTTCTTCGATTTTCCTAACCTTCTGCCTCCAGGCATTTCATTTTCGAATGATGATCCATACTACTTACATCTGTCGACACCAGTGGCACACACCGTAGTATAAGTCGGTGCTCTGATTGACGATTTTGTCACGTGATATTGGACGGGGCTGAGGACATAACAAAAAGAACTTGAAGGACAATAAATGTCTGCCTACAAATCGTCCAATTTAAGAATATTTTACATTATAAATTGAAGTTAGCTTGACAATGATTGAAAATAAGGGAACGCTGAGCACGTGTTACGTTTTAGTGTATACACTTTAATCACGATTCCACTAAGAATTCTCAACCAACATGTCTTCTTGTTGAATGTTCCCATTTTCCGAATGTAAAACGTCCTAAACGGAATGATAAATTTCTATATCTTGTATCGCCCAAGAAGATGAAAGAAATATTGTAATATTCAGCATCGAATATCTATTTTCTTTTGTTTGATTTTAGAAAACTAACGAAATATCTATTCTATATGTATGAGAGCTTAATAATAATCACCATAGGTATTCCGGATCTTAGTTTCCTGCTTGTGAATCCAAAAGTTTGTATTGTTCTTAAGACGCCTAATTCATAGCTTATTGTCATCAGTCTTTGACAGGTTAGAATGTACAAACACTATATAGTACATTCATAGTTAGTTGAATCTCTTTATCCAATAAATATTAAATTAATTTATACACCACTAAGTATTGTCCTTATAGGTCACAATGAGACGAATATTAGTGCCGATAGTGACCACTACTATTGTTTATGACAAATAACACATGCTGAAATCATGCAATTGGATATCAAATAAACTAAAATGCAGACAAAGCTCTAGACGAACGAGAAACGTTAAGTTCGTAGGTAATATCTACATGGATGTAGTTTAACCAGTTGGAGGAAAATTACTCTTACACTTCTATAGACTCTGCATATTAGCGGCTTCCAAATAATGCAAGAAGTACCAATAGCCCTAAAACTTGCGCCACTCTTTACCAAACGAAACATGCATACTGAGTGATTTTTTACCACATAATTCATTGAACAGATTGTTAATAGAATCATGAACATGACAACTGGACCTGCTTACGAACAACCTAATCCCTTCAACCACTTTACTCCCCATTTTCTAATTTTCTTTTTCACAGCTCAGAGGAATCGTCTCCCTTGCCATTAGAAGTACTGTAATAACGGACTTAACTAACGGTATTGATGCCATGCGTTAACTGTCAGTCAAAAGAACTACCAATAGATGGTCTTTTCACAGCGACTCAATGGAGACATTTAGATTATGATTGACTAACCTCTATAACTTCTTTTGTACCCCCATGAGACAAGATTGAACAACTCTTTGGCAAAAGGACTAGGAGGTAAACGTTCTCATGAGCTTCGGCCGTTCCAGACCAGTCCTTAGTCATGCTTCAGAAGCCGACAGAAGCCCCATATCATGACTAGCTTTTACCACGCTATGACTCTCCACTGAAAAAACCTATACAGTTCCAAGGAGTATGTGGAGATTACGTAATCCTACAATGTCTGCTGATCTGCGACATGCCTGACGCGACTGGAGGTCGGTATTAATCCTTGTCAGCCTTCAAGACCGGATCCATGGTACCATCTCAGATATTTTGCTGTATTTTCTCCATTAGATAATGATGAATCATCTGACTACATTAAAAGAGTCATAACCCACCTTTTCCGCATCACATAGTCTAACCCTCAATATTTCAGAGCAAAAGTCACCCAAGATCATGGTGTCTTTTGAGGTAAGCGGATGGTTTAAATTTGTGTATGAGCAAGTTAATTTTAAAACATACCTCAATAAATATGTCTCCAATGTTTTGTTCATTCGCAATAACCTTTTGTAATAAGCTGAAATCTACTGATCTTGAAGACTTTTAAAGTAATACCCTGAACCCATTTATTTCAGCTTATTGTATGAAATATACAGTTCAAATCTTTGAGAAAGGATTTTCTCTCTGTAGTGGTTTCTGAAGCATTCAGAGAAGTATGTAATGAAGCCTTTTCATACTAACCAATCAAAAAATTTATAAATTTCGATTGTTATTCCCTAAAGAATGTCAGCACCAGTGCAATTATTCATACTTTTAAAAATCATCAACAAAATGAATAACTGATGTGAGCGAACAAAATTGAAATGAGTAAAAAACGCGGAAAGGTAAAAAAAGATTTAAATAAATAATATATAATCAAGTTCATTCTATATCATTCAATATATTACTGCTTACATATAAACCCCATGTACATATACACTATGTTCCCGAACTAAATTGAGTGAACCTTAATACTTTAATGCAACTACAAAACACGTTTTATAATGCCGAAAATAGATCAGTTTCTACTAATCTCATGAAAGTAATGATTTAATATAAGTTCATTTTCAGTTCGCGCATTTGTATATTTATTTCATGTGATCGATAATACTAATTGATCGAATATGGTATTATAGATTATAAGTCCTTTTTTTACAATAAACTAATGAAGAGACTATTTTCACTGATTTACTGAGATTCTATTACGATGTTCTTTAGAAATCAACAATCTTAAAGTGCAGAAAGATATCCAAATGGTATATAAATAATTTTGTTATACCAAGAAAATATACACTTTGAGTTATTTTGTAATCATAAACTATCCACACAAATAAGTTTGAAATAACGGTTCATAGTATTCTGATCAAGATTATGAACCGATTGATGTTAGACCACCATTGAAAGGCTGGAAGCATTCGACGACCGTTTCGTCCTATCTTGGGACTCCTCAGCATTGCACATCAGTGATCCTGCTCTCGAGGTTCGAACCCGGGCCTCTAGTCTCGCGCACTAACACTTAACCTCTATATCACTGAGTCGGGATCCGACGGTGTTAATGTTTAACCTCAACCAATCAATGAAATTGCGCGACCATTTTCCATTTTATTGAGGTGGATGCTTGTCTCTACCCGACACGCATTAGCTCCAATGGTCACGGCTTCTCACTAGAATTCCGAGAATTCCGTCACGAAGCTAGTCACTAGTGAGTACATGGTAATTATCAGTATAGGGTTGTGGAGATTACTAAGTCTTTAACTGAGATCATGTAACTGATTGATGTTAGACCACCATTGAAAACCCGGAAGCAAGTGGTATCGTGGATGCGCACTGTTGACAAGTTCCACAACAGGACGAAACGGCCATCCAGTGCTTCCAGCCTTTGAGTGGTGGTATTACACCAATCAGTTCATGATCTCCATCAGAAACTTAATGATCTCCACAACCCTATACTGATCATGGTATTCTATTTCGTAAGAACTATACTTTACAGTTACGTAACCATATGTTTTAAATAAAGTGATTACAAGTTTATTTCAGAATCTTTGTAACACAATGTGGATAATAAGATTTAGATATCTCCTTAAATTGTTTACACTGAAGTTTAAGTATAATGTGAGAATTTATTGCTGTCTGTCGAATGAATCCTGATGTTAAGTGCTTAGGGTATTCAAAAAATTGTATTGCTTAGTAATTTAATTTTCCATTTTAATTTTTTTCATCTTCTGATATCTCAGGTATATTAGAGAATTTATATCAAATCATTAGTAAATTGTAAATGGTTTTCTCTTTCATGCAAATCAATAGAGTCCTTTCTATGGGTGTAATTATGAAGACAGAAACTCAGTGAACTTTCACACACCTATTCAATTATTATTAAGCTTTATTCTAGTCATCAGTATCATTAGAAACCAATCAATAAAGATAACTACACAAGGGTTCACAACTCAAGATCATATAAATTGGAAAGCTATTAAGCTTTAGAAAATCCTTCTGTACATAATGAGAGTTCCATGAAGCATAATTCGATGAAATATTTGAAAACAGAAGACATAATCATAAGGACCAGGTTCCACAGCAAGTAACCTAGTGGCATGTTTCTCATTAATGGGTGCTGTTGGGAGTAATGTTGACTACCGTAGGGGGTGGTTGGAAGAAAGTTAAGGGAGGCCAAACCAAAACATGGCATAAGTGCTTGAAGTCACTAACTTCTGGTCTGAGCCATGTTGGTAGATGCAGACTACTTGGTTGGGGTCCACGTGACTATCACAACTAATAGTTGGAGACTCTGTGTGACATGGCTCAGAATCGATCACAATCGCGTCGGTGTATACACTCTGTCTTTCCTTAAACTAAGAGATTAAAATCGC